ATTTTCTGCTATGTAATTGCCCCCCACTAAAACGTTACAGAATGCTCCTCCTCCTCCTTTTTCTTTAGATCTTGTGATAGTCAATGAATTGATAGTTTTTTTTTTTTTGGACGTTGTGATTGTGAATTATTTGACTTTTTTTTTTTAACCTTGTGATTGTCATGTATTTTTTTTCCCAACTCCAGGTCTTTTCCATTGAGCATCTTCGCATTTTTAGTGAAGAAGAACTTGAGCGATTACTCTGTGGAGAATTTGATTCTTGGCCTGTATGTATATATTTCATTTCTCAATGTGTATAAACCTGTTTTTGCGAAGAGGAAAATTATGAAAACAGCTAAAATTTAATAATCTCTTTTTAGCAGTTCAATGAACTGGCAGATCACATTAAATTTGATCATGGGTACACTGCTAGCAGTCATCCGATCGTTAATGTGAGCATTCCTGTTATTCAAATGACATTATATATGTTTTTGGTTGTTTCAACTGTAATTTTGTTAACCCAATCCCATAATCTGTTGCTTACTGCTGTGGAATTTCAGTTGCTGGAAATCATTCAAGAATTTGACCACGTACAGCGAAGAGCATTCCTGCAGTTTGTGACTGGAGCACCTCGACTTCCTCCAGGAGGATTGGCATCTCTTAATCCTAAGCTGACTATTGTGAGAAAGGTGTGTGGATGCTATACCCTATAAGATGAAGCTCTGTTTTTTACGCTAGGCTTTATGACTGTTAACTGTCGTTATTTTTGACAGCATTGTACCAACCGGGCAGACACAGACTTGCCTAGCGTGATGACTTGTGCAAATTACTTGAAGTTACCTCCTTACTCATCAAAAGTACTTTTTCATTATTTTCAAACTTAAATGACTAAAGCCTTCAGAAATTAATGTTCATAAACTGGAGTCTTATTTTCTTTGGTCCCTTCTTTTTTATATAAATTCCAGGAAAAGATGAAAGAGAAGCTCTTGTATGCCATAACGGAGGGACAAGGATCATTTCACCTTTCATAAGTTCATTCTCTTCACACATCTGCATTTCAATGCTGAACCTGTAATTATTAGAGTAGTCGCTAGAGATGTAGACAAGGATCTGGATGTGTTGCTGGCAAGAGTGGTGGTGGTTGGAAGAGGAGCTGATTTGCTGCTGAAGGAGAAGATGCTGCAGTCTTCACTGACTAGAATTGTTGGGGTGTGTACATAGCCCGCAAATACAGGAAGTTCATTGACTTGGGTTGGTTGTACAGAAACCAGGGGGTACTTTTAAGTGTTTTCTCTTTAGATATTTTCATGTACAGAATGGTGTACAGAAATCACTTTGGATGGTGGCCTTTTGTTTAACATCAGTAGTTGACTTTCGCCTTCAGCGTCTCAGTATTTCTGCTATATATTTGATTTTCAGGTAACTTGTATATTCTTGCAAGGGTATACGCAAATCATGTGTTACTTTCATATGTATTTTAACTACTTTTTTCTGCATTTTATTTATCGTCCCTGTCTGTGATTTAATATCTTTAATGCCTCAGTAGTTCAAGCAGACCATTTTTGATTACCAAGTTCCCTGTATGCTAAGAGCAAGTATCTCCAGCCTACGTAACGTGTCCCCCAAACCATCAAAGAAGTGAAATACTCCCTCGGACCACAATCAACTGAGCCACATGTAAATGAGGGAGGTATTTTGAAAAGAATGACACATGGGGTACAAGTTTTCATATTTTGCAATTTGTATTTTTTCTTTTTTAATATTTTGCGCCCCTTATTTTAATATGCTAAGTTTAAAATTCAATTCAATTTTATTTTTTAGTCTGGATTTGTTCAATTTTTTAACTCAATCTAATGAATATTAGCCTATTACTGTACTTAAATACTAATATTGTTTATTAATTATTTAAAGAAAAAAATTAATTTAATTAAATCAGATCTGTGTTATCCTCATTTTGAATATTGGTCAAGGATTGATAAAAAAAAAAAGGCAATAAAAAATAAAAATTTAAGACTCAAGAATAAATTTATTGAATGTCTTTCATTAGTTCATTATACTTGCACTTGCAGGTCTTTAATTAAAAGTTGAATGAAAAAAAAAAGAAAAAGAGAAAAATAATGAATTTAGAAGTAAGAAAAAGGTTTTTTTTTTTTTTTTGTGTCAAGGATTTTGGTTCCATCATGCCGCCCAACCCAAAATCGTGACTTCATTATTTATCACAATATAAGTTATAATTAATTAATTTATAATTTATGAATAATGTTGGTTAAGATTTTAAATTTTTTAAAATGTTCACATTGAAATTTTAAGCTTCTAAAAATATTCATATATTTTCATTTATATTTTAATTAAATACTCTATGCAATAGCTTTGATAATGATAATTATTGTTTTGATAATGATAATTAAAATTTTAATGCGTGATTTTTAAAAAAATAATAAATAAAGTAATGATATAATTAAAAAATAAATATAAAAATTAATATGCCTTACATTGTAATGTGAAGAAAGCAAATGGGAAACATTCGTTATAAGAGATATAACTTGCCGCCAAACCGACAACAAAATAAATTAATATATTACAATCTATGAAATCTTCAAGTCAATGAATGATCATAAATCCAATACCACCAGCTGGAAGCACATTCGGTGCTCATCAGGGGTGATGAGCACCACATGCTCATCACTCCTGAACGAATGTGTACCGTCATTAAAATACTTTGTTTATTTTTTATTTTTAAAATAAAAATTTATAAAATTTTAAATAAATATATTTATCATTAACATATATCATTTATATTTAATCAAATGAGTCTAATTTTATTAATTTTTTTATAATTTTTTACAAATTGATTATACAGATTTAGTCTGTACTCTTCAGATTTAAAATTTTTAACTTCTTATACTTATTAGATTCAAAATAGTTCAGAATAAATCTGTATCATGAATTTATAAAAACTATAAAAAATTAAAATTAAATTTAAACTGATCTGATTAACTATGAATGATATATGTTAATAATAAATATATTTATTTAAAATTTTATAAATTTTTATTTTAAAAAAATAAAAAATAAACAAAGTATTTAAATCTGGACCGTCCAGATTAAATCTAGACAATCCAAATTCATTTAGGGGTGATGCAGTGCTCATCACCCTTGATGAGGACCGGATGTGCTCCCACCACGAGCCAGCTAGCACGGGGGTGGAGCTAAAAAAAATTTGTTACGAGGAGTTGAAATGATAAAGCATATATTATAATTAAAAAAAATTAAATTTATATATATTATTAATATGATATAAATATTTTAATCCATATATTTATATTTAATTTTATACATATATATACATATAACAAAAAAAATATATATATCTTCATTTTTTAAGTTTTTTTCATTAATTTTTTTAATGATATAAGAATAATTAATTATTATATTTATGATAGAATTTTAAAAAAATTCTTCTCAATATAAACTATTATTAAATTGGTGAATATTTTATCTTTCTCATAAGTATTGAATAATTTAAATGTATTATTGAAATTTAAAGTTCTGTTCAATATAAAAAATTCTATTACTTGTTTATTGAATTTACTGTTTAATTCTTTCAATTGATATGTTTTTCATTCCAATATATCTTAAAATTTTTGTTGTAGTGTTTTATAAAGTTTGTTAGTAATAATTTTCATAATTTTTTTCATCAAATATAAAATAAAAGTAAAATTAAATGCTATCAATACTTTAAAGCAACTGTAACATTATCTTGTTAAAAATAAAAAGACTATATAATAATTATATTTTTAAACTATTACAATAGTTGGATTATATATGTGTAAAAGACTATTATGAAATTAAAATGAAAATTTTATCTAGTATCTCAAAGTTTTTAAAATGTGTCAATTTAGGATTGAAAATATATAACCCTTACATTTTATTAAGAAAAAATAAAAAGTTAGGAGGGTCATGATCCTATTAATCCCTCCCTGTCTCCACCCCGAGTTAAAACACAGCTGCCTTCCTTGTAAAATATGCTTGAGAGAGGTTCCTCATCATCAGATAAGTCATGGAGCTTGGAAATAACTACTATGTTTGATTCCACAATAAAATTGATATGCCTGCGAATTTAATGATTTTAAATCCCCTGATATTAAATTGATCGCTTCTAAATGTTGATACAATCTGTAACGAGGACGAGAGGTCAAAGTTCCAGGATCCATCCCATTTACGAAGCTACTCACATATTAATTAATGTTTTATTTAATACACACAATATTCGTTAACAAAATAGAAAATCTTTAAGTCATTAATTAATTTGTCATTCAGAGATACTTTTTCATGCTGTACTCATCGATATATTACTAAATATATATCAAGATATGATAAACTAGTTGTTTTTATTGTTAATTGAAATGAGTATAGGTTAGATTATATAAAACTTCCTAAATTTGGGTTACATGTCAATCATTTTTATTTTAAAACTTATGCAAAAAACCCTAAATTTTTAATTCTGTGTAAATAACTCCTGCGGTAAATTATTTTATTAATTTTCTGATGGAGCATAAGATGTTATTAATCAATTATCTCTTTAATTTTTTTTCATCCATAACTTCTTTAAACTTTGAGTTATATGCAGTTAGTAATGTACATAAACTATAAGTCATGTACACATAAATCTCCCATTATATGATATTATTTTGGAAAAATAATGGTGAAAGATTATATTTATATAGAATATTCATTTTTTTGGTAGTTATTATTTATTTTTTGAATTTTAGTATAGTAGTTGTCATCATCATCGTCGTCATCATCATCATTTTTATTATTATATTTTAATTAAATTAATATTTATTAAAATATAATTACAGATTTAAAATGATGAAATATAATGACCGGCATATAACCTTTAGAAAAAAAAAAAAAAAAACTTTTGAAGCACTCTAGCACATGCCACGTCGTCCCATTATGATTGTTGAGTCCTCTTCCTATTTATGATTCGAACCGAGAGAGGCATTCTGGTTCGAAACCAGCGTTTCAGTGCCTCATTCTCCCTCAATCCCCCTTCGTTTTGGTTTGAATGCGTACTTGCTCTTCCATCATTCCGAGTTTCGCCGTTCAATGTAGTTCGTTGCTAGCCTGAGGAGAGCTAGTCCTTGGAAAACAGGTTAGCATTTTCTCCTCCTCTTTTCTGGTTACTCTATCAAGGTGTTTCAAATTCATCTAAAAAAATTGCATCATTGTTTCGCATTTTAGGTTTTCCATAATGTCTACTAATTCTGGCCACATCGATTTAAATACCGATGCCATTTTCGTTGATCGGCAAGATGAAGTTGCTGGGTTTGATTCATCAGAAACGAATGCCAGTGTCGTTGTCCCTGCGTCTGTTGATAACGAGGTTAAAGTCCGAGATCATGAGTTTTGCGGGGTTGGAGATGGTCGAGGGGCCAATGAGTCGGTGAAGCCGGTTAATGGTGAAATGTCTTGTGGAACCGAGCGAGAGGGTTTTGATGAAGATACTGAACTCGTGTGTAGAGCGAATGATATGGAGGCAGGGGCAGAACTTGTTGATGAAGTTATCAGAACTGATAAAGTCTTGGATGCTGAATTGAACTATGGCGTTGTGAATGAGCTGGAGTATGGGTACAAGAGTGGAGTTACTGAAAATGGCTCAACTAGCATTGAATTGAAATTAAATAAAGAGGTTCAAGGAGAGGAGAACAAGATCGTGTGCCGTAATGCGGACCAAAATGCTAAAGAAGATTTTAGCGATGAACGGAACGGAAGCGGGCGGAAGTGTCACGTTCATGAGTTAACAGGCCAGGGAGCCATCACTGTTATGGGAGATGAGAGCGATGTCAAAGCTGCTGATGATAAGGTTTCTATGGATGGTCCTAAAGATCAATGTGCCTCAAGAACTGCAGAATCTGTCTACCAACCGCTGGATGGCATTCTACATATGAAGGCCAAGGGCGTTAATTTCAACGAATCTTTGCCTAATGAATTCCCAATTTCAAGGAAGCATCTTTGTCGGGTAGAGACTTCGTATCCTTTGAAACTGCAGAATCTGACAGAGGCATCGCCTTTGGGAAGTATTCAAAACGAGTGCCATGGTCTTGATCTGGTTGTAGATTTTAATTCATGCAGAAAGGCTGTGGAGGTTGACATGAATATGAAATCGATATCTACAGAATTGAATTTCCGTGAGTCTGATTTAGTTTGGGGAAAGGTGATGGGTCATCCGTGGTGGCCTGGCCAGATTTTTGATCCTTCAGCTGCATCGGACAAGGCAAAGAGGCATTTTAAGAAAGAAAGTTATCTGATAGCATATTTTGGGGATCTAACATTCGCTTGGAACGATGCATCAAAGATAAAGCCATTTCAAATGTATTTCTCACAAATGCAGAAACAGAGCAATTTGGACAACTTTTATCATGCTGTTGATTGTGCATTGGATGAGGTCTCAAGACGAGTTGAGTTTGGCTTATCCTGCCCCTGCACGCCTGAAGTGTTTACCAATCTTAAAACCCAAACAATTACTAACGCTGGAATCCAGGAACACTCAAGCAGAAGAGATGGAGGAGACAGGTTTCTGAATGCAATCACTTTTGAACCCAAGAAACTTGTGAACTTTGTTAAATCATTAGCGGAGGCACCACTTGTTGAATTCGATATGTTGGATTTTGCAATAGCACGTGCCCAATTGTTGGCCTTCCAACATTCAAAGGGTTATTCTCAACTGTATGAGCTTTTAGTGAATGATGCGTTGTTCAAAAATGATATTGAAATTATACCCATGAACGTGGAGGAGGAAGGGCAATATGATTTTCAAATTGATAACCAAGGATTGGAAACTGATACTGGCTACTCACACAAGCGTAAGCACTTCTCTAAAAGAGATTGCGTCTGGCCCTGCAAGAAACAAAAACGTTTGTCTGATTTAATGTCTGAGAAGTGTTTGCATCTCCCAAATGACGAACATATTTTAGGTGGGAAAGCTGATGGTGACGAGTCAATTCTGCACTCTTCTACCTCGAAGCAAAAGGCATTTGAGAACACTCCTGATGACTATTGTTATAAATCCCAAAATATAAAGCTGATCCAATTGCACAAAGTTTCTGCAGATGAGATGTGGTCGCAACTTCGCTTGGCTGCTACAGATCCCACAAGAGATGGTTGCTTAACTGTTATGGTGAAGTTTTTTGCAGAATTCAGAAACTTCACTAGTCCACATAATTCCTCGTCAGTGGAGCTCTGCAATGATTCTTACTGGACTGACAGAATTATTCAGAGTATTCCTGAAGAGCAATCACCGTTAAAGAATCAGAATAAGAGGGAAGAGTTTCTGCCCGTGAATCCAACTGAAGGGGGTTCTCCATCCCTCAAACTGCAAGCAGCTGCTGCTGATGGGAAGGAACAGTTTGATGATAGCTCTAAGGGAGATACCCGCCCAGCAGCCCTGATTCTTGAATTTACAAACTTGGATTCTATTCCTTCAAAAACAAGCCTCAACAAAATTTTTGGCCGCTTTGGACCCTTGATCGAATCGCAGACTGAACTGTTAAAGAAAAGTAGACGTGCCAGATTGGTTTTCGAAAGACTTTCTGATGCAGAAACCGCTTTCAGCAGCGCTGGGAAATATAGCATTTTTGGACCTTCGCTTTTTAGATACCACCTCAAGGTTATGCCTTCATCATCCAAAGCCCCTGTTACTGCAGGAAAGCGAGGCAGGAAAAGAAGTTCTGGGGAAGGCGGTGAACTCTAGTGCCTTAGCATAGATTGCTCCAACCTTAGATATGACTTTAACGCTAGGTGTTTTCTTTGTCGATATGGTGGTTCTTATTTTGAGTCTTTTGCTAAGCTAACGCGTTAGCATGCTAATACGTAGGGGTGACAGCAGCCTGACTAATTGATGACGTAGAAATCGCCGGGGATAGGATGAAGCCGATATAATTAAGAATGGTCCATGCTCTAGTAAGTATTACCTGATATGAGGGAAATTTTGAGGTTCAAGCTGATAGGACAGTTTCAACGCTTACTGAAAATCAATGCACATACGTTGCTGTAATTATCAGGTTTATGGTATGAAAACCAATGGCTTTGAATCCCCTGATTACTTTATTTTGCTGGTTTTGGGAAAGTTGCTTCCATTTAAGCTATCCTTTCTTGTTCATAAGAAGCATGTCTGTTGTGGTAATGCTGCCCCCAACCGAGAGAGTGCGATACATATATTATCTCTTTGAATCGCTAACAAGTGACGACTGTCTACGAAATTTTACTCATTAGTTTATATTAACATATTTAATTTCTCGGAATCTAAATTTACTGTTACTATTCTACTGAGACAAGGATTGCTTCATTTGATGAGAAGAAATGTCTTAAACATTTAATATATGTTTAGTGGAAGAACGTCTGCTTTTAAAATTTTGTCCAAAAAAAATAGTATGAGCAACAGGATGCAGCGGTGAAGTCCAGGTTTGAATCTGGCGTCATTTGGTATATTATATGATCCCATGGTATATGTCTCTCTCCTTATATTTACCAGTCGTTTTCTGTTTCCTTTTACGTTTTTGTTTTGTGACTTTTTTATTTGGAAGATTACATCTAAAGACTTAAGAAAAAACTATTCATGGATAAGGATCAATACAAATAAATTATTATTAAAATAAAAATATGAATTTATTTTTTCTCAAATGAGATTAATTATTACTCTTTGTTTGCAAATAAATTCTTGTTAGGTTTTTGAATGTGAGTTTTCCTTTTTAAAGAAGGCTTTCCAATTTACATTTTCTAAATCTCCCATGTTGAATTTGAGATGTGCTATTATGTATCTAAAATTTTTTACAGGGCTTGAATCTCACTGGAGGCTGTGAGATGCGGTGTTGGTTGATGCTTTGTTATTGTATTGCACTAATGATTAGTTTGTTTGTTTTTTCCTTTCTTATTCTGCTATTTTCTTGAATACTAATATTTCTTCTTCTTGTTTTGTTGCTATTTAGATTGTTCTCTTGATTTTTTTGGTCTAGGTCTGTGTGTTAGTTTGATTGTATAAGTTTTTGAGTAGTTTTTATTTTTGACTTTGGCTATTAATATGTGTACTCTACAATATCGCTTAGTTAATCCACTTACTTAATCCTTTAGATCAAACATTATTATGGTAATTAAGAATGGACCATATTAGCCCACCATGATAAATAAAATTCTTTTATTTTAAATGGGATCTTAAATTTTACAACTTAAAGCATAAAATATTTAAGTCAAAACAAACCTAAATAAAGTTATAAAATACATCAAAATATAGGATACCAATTAAACTCAAAAACACTTGCATGAAGGGTCAAAAATGTCAATTTTCAACGACATGAGCCATTCGCCTTGGCATCAAGATAGTGCACGGTGGCTAGATGCTTTTTCGGTCATGTATTAGGGCATATTATACAAAATTTGATAAAAACATGCTATTACATGATAGATCAAGGTTTGAACTTCCAACATGCCTCATATATTTGTCCAATTCCCAAATGCAATAAGTGAGGTGTTCACAAAAAGTTCATATAGTAAACTAGCTAATGATACTTGTTTCACTATCAAGTGATATCATATCAAAAAATTAGACACCCAAGCACAAACCAATCACATTTAAATACCATCTTTACAAATAAAGTGTCCAAAACCCATTTCAAGTGCCTAAAGTTTGAGCAATCACCTAGACCAACTCAATGAACATAGAACAATATGTGTAACACACCATAACACAGTATATATCATAGATCACATTTTAACTTCTCAATCCAATATCATCAAAAAGTACAGTGGGGGGTAATCATCATTTATTCCACTTATCAATCATTTCCCATTCTCAAAATAACTCTAAGCATATTTACACTAGTTTTTTAACCCTAAAAAGACATGTCTACTCATACAAACTGATGAAGAGCATAAAATACTAACAATAATCACAAATGCATGTAATGGTACAAGTAATTAAAATAATTATCTTAGTTGGAATATCATAATAATTATAGATAAGTCAAAAAATAAATACGAGGCTTTATAATAGGAAATCCGACTCCTAAGCCTTAGGAGCCTTCCCTTGTCCTAGTCAGAGCTAATGTCTATAAAATATTAAATGAGGGGTAAGTAAACCACTTAATAACTAAGGTGATCTAGAACATGCTCATGCAAATCAAATAACTATAGGCATGCAAAGTAAGCAATTATAAAACAAATTAACATCATTAAACACATTTTATAATGAAATGCGTGAACATCCATTTCTTCAAACCTCCATCTTTGCTAACTAAGTCCATGTGTTACAAAATAATTCAGAGCTAAAACCTATATGATTGGGTTAGTCTAAGCTCTTCAATCATGAGGGGTGATCCAACCAAGGACCCATACTCATTTATGGATAATAGATTCTCCCATCTTGAATGTAAGGGTGTTACAGAACCATTACTACCAACTTTACTAGTTGGTGTTTAAAGGTGAGCCCTATTACTACCTTTATTAGTTGGGGTTAAGGGCAAAGTAAAGAACCAACACTAAGGCCTCAACGTCTTGGTATGATCTACATGAACCAAATCACTATTTTTGACTAAGGTAAACTCTTATCATCACTATGATCATACTAACATATCACTTGTTAATTCACATACCATGCCCACAATATCATCATCATACTCATATTGTAACATCCCAAAGGTTTAACCCCTAGTTAACTAAGTTAAATTCAGGCAATTTAGTAAATTAACATGGTATGATGGCTAAAGAGGTCTAATCAATATTTTAGGTTGTGGTTTTAGCTCTAGATTTGCATCCGAAGTGAATTCGAGTCACTCGGGCATCAAAAAAAGAGAAAATTAAAGGAAAATGGGTCCGTGCCACATGCTAAAATATACATCACCTTTGTCAAGGTGTACTTTTGATAACTTGTAATGGGAGGATCTTTTTGTACCATGCCACAACTGTGCATGCTACATATACGTTGGTGCATAGTCAAATTTCTGCATAAATGTGTTCATCATATGTTTTGATGATTACAAAATTAAAAAAAATGTGTGTGTTAATACATAAAAATTTATAGATGAAGACAAAACTTTAAGGGCATGAAGAATTATGAAAAGAAGAAGATTTGAAAGATAAGTTATTTATTGCTCTTAGATTCAATGTGAAAACTTTGAGAGCTTAATCACATGTTGTCAATCTTAAAATGAATGCATCATTTTAGGCTCATAAATCTTATTTATGCATCTTAAGACTTGATTTAGTCAATTCAAGCTTGGGAGTAATATCATTCTAGCTTGAATTGGATCATAGAAGTTGAGCTTTTCTCTGCATAATAATTCATGTGTGATTCAGTATAGTCACACGTGTGATTTGTCACTCTAGACACACTAACTAATATTTTATGCCTGAATCAGTAGTGATCCACGCATGATTTATCACCTGTGTTTGTGTGACACCTTGATGAAGCTTTTATGCTCTAATTCACGCAAGGTACCCTTGTATATGCATGCTTGATTTGTTACCTTGTGTTTCCTTGCATATTGTAAAGTCTTATTTCACGCCTGAAGAGGAAGTATTCACACATTTTTGTCACTAAGTCTTTCGAACACATTTTACCTAAATGAGTCTTAAGCCATTTAAAATTTGATTCATATTGTATACTTGTATGATTTGTCATCTAGTTTTAAGTCTTTTAATCATACAATCCTTGATTGAATGCACATGAGTTCCACAAGTGATGTGTTTTCAAAATGGCTCAGTTTTGTAACCAGCCATTTCACATGTGTATAGCAGAGTGTTCCACGTATAGTTGTCTTCCAAAATGATTTAGGTTTTGTAACTAGTCATTTCACACATGATAGTCAACTAGTCCCACACATGATTTGTCACACCGATTGGCCTTGGCATTCTACTAGCCAATTCATGTATGTGTGAGAACTTGAGAGTCGCACACCTGTTTTGTCATACGGAACTTCTTGCATTTTATTTTCTTACAAAACACACATGAATCACCCTGGTGTTCATGCTTAAATTGTCATATATGCTTGTTTGAAACTTAGCTAGCTCCATTTTACACGTGAATTGTCTGGGTTACACACAGGGAATGTCATCAACGGCTAGATACATTGTTCTAACAATTTGTTAACTGCCAAAACTATATATGTGATACAATTCAAGTCTAAAAACAAGAATTATGATCTTTAAGTGAACTACTCATTATTTGAACATTCTTAAAAAGCTTTTAAAGATGTGCATCAAAGTCTTGCATTCATTCATTTTATCATTCTTGATAAAGTTTAAAGCTGTCACATGTTTTTAAAATTTCAAGTGTAATCATCTACTCTTTCAAGAGAGTTCATTTTAGAGAAGTCTTTACTTTGTAAACAAGCTAAAATCTTGAAAAGAGATTTTTCAAGTAAATTGTAACAATTTACTGGTTATAGCAAGGTTTGTTATTGAATCAAGACTAGATAAGTCTTGTGAGTTATATTGAGATTATAAGCACCTACTTAAGCTTGTGAGTTTAGTTAAAAATTTTAAGTGTGATCTTGACAACTAATGTAGGCCAAAATTTAGGCTAAACCAGGATAAATCTCTCATGTCAATTCTCTTAACTTTTTGCTCCTATCTTCTTCTCTTCTTAGTTCATCAAAAAAATTAAGTGTCACCCAATTCACCACCTTCTTGCGTGCCAACCTATCTAACAATATGAGGCTCGTTAGTTAAAAATTAAAAGGAGAAAAGGGAGAACACACACCAAGCTCTGCTAAAGCTCAAGATTTAGACTATTGGAGACATTTTAGAACTTTTAAACACTAAGGATAAGTCTCTTATGTCTATTCCTTTTATCCTTTTCCATTTTCTTAAGTTTGAGTTATGGTTTACTTAGTGTGAATACTGTATTTTGTCCAAGTATTTTTAAATATATTAATAATCACAATAAATTTAACCAAAAAAATGAAACTTTAATAATATATATAAAATGAAAGGATAAAAAAATGAGTAAGGTTTGATATTATTTTAATTTTATCCTGTTGACTAGGATTTTATTTCTTTTATCTAGTTAAAACAACCAAAAATATAAAAATGAAATTTAATTCTTTTTTAAGAGTTA